AAGATCAGGAAAAAGCTGAGGTTATGGCTGACTACTTTGGGGCAGTTTTCACTCAGGAACCTCCTCTAGAGAAAGAGCCAGACCCAATTACAGAGTCAACAAACCAGCTGCTCACCGTGGACTTCGACCAAAACGATGTGCTTAAGGCTCTTAGCACCCTAAACATGGAGAAGTCAACAGGACCAGGTGAACTACACCCTAAAATCTTGAGACACATTGCCGAACATATCGCAGCCCCACTGACTGTGATATTCAAAATGTCACTTGACCTAGGTGTGTTACCTATGGACTGGAAGGACGCAATCGTCACTCCCATACATAAAACTGGTCTACGACAAGTTCCATCAAATTACAGACCCGTAAGCCTCACCAGTGTTGTAATTAAAATACTGGAAAGGATAATCAAACGGACCATAACAGCATTTATGGAAACCAATAACTTGCTGAACATGGCACAACATGGTTTTAGAAAGGGTCTATTCTGTACAACGAACCTCCTTATAGCTAGGGAGCTCTGGATTAATGCGCTAGACAACGGAAACTCAGTGGATGTTGTCTACATAGACTTCAGTAAGGCTTTTGACAAGGTGCCAACTAATAGACTGCTATTGAAGTTGCCAAACCTTGATATTGCCGGACCTCTTTTAAAATGGGTTAAGGATTTCCTAGTAGGTCGTAGGCAAAAAGTAAGAATAAATTCCAAGTGCTCCATCTGGAGACCAGTACTTAGTGGAGTACCCCAAGGTTCCGTCCTAGGTCCTTTACTTTTTATAATGTACGTTAATGATCTTACAAGTATAGTACAGTCTCCAATGTTATTATACGCTGACGATGTAAAAATTTGGCGAGTAATAACTGGAGACACAGACGCATTTACTCTTCAGGCGGACTTAAGTAATATGATAAACTGGTCTAAAGAGTGGCTAATGCCTATCAACTCGGAAAAGTGTGTCTACATGCACTTGGGGGATTCAAAGGTTAATACGTACAACATAGGGGATGTGTCATTACCCGTAGTCCGGTCTCATTAGGACCTAGGGGTGACAGTGAGCAATGATCTTAAGACGACGGCCCATTGCCGGGAGGTCGCAGTTAAGGGGTTTCGAACCCTCTGGGCTTTAAAAAGGACATTCACTAAGCTTGATACTACCATGTTCACCACATTATACACATCCTTAGTGAGAACTAAGTTAGAGAACTGCGTTCAGGCTGCAAGCCCCTGTTTAAAAGGTGACTCAGACATACTAGAAAAGATACAAAGGGCAGCTACGCGTGCAATTCCGGAACTCCGGGGTTTATCATATAAAGAGCGGCTTGAAAAACTGAACCTCTTTACTCTGTCCTATCGCAGACTAAGGGGAGATCTAATATTGATGTACAGAATACTGAGAAATGATTCCGGACCTAACTTATTCTCTCTCTTCCTTCCCACTAGATCGAGACACCTCAGAGGACATAGCAGGCGAGTAGAAAAGCCAAGAACGAACAAAATACCCGTGGCATACAGGTTTTCACACCGAGTCATCAATACTTGGAACCTGCTGCCTGAAGCAGTGGTATCCGCACCTTCAATTGACTCTTTCAAGAGAAGACTGGACACTCACAGAAGCATACTAGAAAAGGAATAACATAGGCCGTAGGCCTTCTGTCCTTACTACACAAATCTGAATCTGAATCTATTACCGAAGACAAGTCTATTATGTGGAACCTTGAAGAATGGTTTGGTGTGACCAATGTAGAAGACATCCACTGATTTTCTATTATCTAGTAACTCTGTCCAACTCTCAAAAAGTTTGTTATTTCTGCTACTCGAAACACAAAGTTTTGAATTTCAGCGGTACTTAGTATTCAGTCATCGTGGTCGTTGTATTGTAACGTTTCTTAATTTGACTCTTATAATTGTTACCTACTTTCGTCTCTCGTGACTATGATTGCCAAATGATTGAAGGTCTTGTATATAATTTAGGAGTCAATCCAGATTTTCAAAACTTTTGGGGAAATTTGATCCGTTTTTTCCGAAGCAACCATAAAAGGGGAAATAAAAGCGAATAAAGGAGAAATAAAGTGAACTAAAGCGTAAATAAAGGAGTAATGTCGCTTTTTTCCCCTTACGTCGTGTATTTAGGGGAAATTTGTCGACAATTGGGAGATTTTGGGAAAGCCGCCATAGAACAATTTGGGGAATATTCCAGGAAATGGCACCAAAACCCCAAAATTTCCACAGATCTGGGGAAATTTCCTAAAATTTTGGGGTTTTCTCCGGAATCTTACTACCTTTTGTGGAAATTCGCCTATATTTATTGATAAAACCCCAACATTTTGCGCAATTTCGGGGAAACTATTCAAAATATGTCGTTTTAACGCAATATTTCTTCACAATTTTCTACAGGTATCAATAAAAAGCCTGACGATTCAATAGTAAGTACCCAAAGGTTCCTACTCATGTATTCCATTTTTTCCTGTCAACTTTGCACAGTAAACACAATGCCGAAGCAATTTGACCACAATTCATAACGAGAACCGATCTGTCGCCGCAGTTAAAAGACTGACGTTTTGTACATGGAAATCTTTATCCAAGTTTAACAATGTACAAATTTTCCATTAATACATTACTTCTCCCAATTCTTAGCAATTGCTCATGCGGACACCGGTGTCAGCATGTGAGCTAGGCACGCTTTGGTTGGTTTCCGAGGTTCATCACATATGATCTCGAACAATCTGACCACCTAAACATTTTTAAACACCTGTTCCAACTTAAGAATTGATCATACATGGGTGTGAAGGACAGGTGCAGCGACAACATAGACACTTCAAGTTTCGAATTGCCATTAAAAACACATGAGGAATTGCGTACTTTGAAGCTGCTTTAAAGGAGGTCAAGTGTCCTAATCCTGACATGACCATGACATTTGTTTGCTTACTAAAGAGTACTGTTTTTCTTTTTGTAGAACACTGTAAATGAAAGTTCAACATCAAACTAATGTACTTATTCAAAACGCATGAGCAATTGCTAAGAATTGGGAGAAGTAATGTATTAATGGAAAATTTGTACATTGTTAAACTTGGATAAAGATTTCCATGTACAAAACGTCAGTCTTTTAACTGCGGCGACAGATCGGTTCTCGTTATGAATTGTGGTCAAATTGCTTCGGCATTGTGTTTACTGTGCAAAGTTGACAGGAAAAAATGGAATACATGAGTAGGAACCTTTGGGTACTTACTATTGAATCGTCAGGCTTTTTATTGATACCTGTAGAAAATTGTGAAGAAATATTGCGTTAAAACGACATATTTTGAATAGTTTCCCCGAAATTGCGCAAAATGTTGGGGTTTTATCAATAAATATAGGCGAATTTCCACAAAAGGTAGTAAGATTCCGGAGAAAACCCCAAAATTTTAGGAAATTTCCCCAGATCTGTGGAAATTTTGGGGTTTTGGTGCCATTTCCTGGAATATTCCCCAAATTGTTCTATAGCGGCTTCCCAAAAATGGGGAGATTGGGTTGGGTTTACACAGATCCCGAGACCTCTTTTCAAAACAGCTTACATTAGTGTACAACCCTTTCTTTATATCATAACTTTATGATCCATATCTATCTAATTATAAATTTATGTCAGCATTCAGTGCAACTTATATCATGACTCAGAAAACCCTTCATTGGTCTATAGGCAATAACTATAACAACCAGACATAGCGGTTTAACACCGCGTATAAAATTTCCGTATACCCTATATTTACCCGACACTATATCGGGTAAAAGGTTAACCTGAATCAATTTATTTTGAATATATTGAATCGTGACGGTAGAACTAGTAGAATTTATTTTAATACAGCTATGAGTGGTTCAAGTACTCGGGCTTTTTCTATGGAAGTTGATAACAAAAACATAGCAGTTAAGGACGACTCTTGTTATATGGAAAAACAGGTTGTATACTGCAAGTATTTGCGAAAATAACCCAGAAAACACTTTAGTTATAGTGAGTAATCTAGACCCAAATATCAATTTTTAGAAAAAGTATTGTAGGTGGTATATTATCTGTTGTTGAAATAACCTCGAGAGAATTCGATCTTATTAAGTACTTAACCGTAGCATCTGCTGCTGTGGGTACGTACTGCAACAGTTTTATATAAAAATATAACTAGCCTACACTTTCAATAAATGCAGTGAAGCATCTAAATTATGTATATCATAGCTTGTAATGGATTCACCTGAACCCAAAACTCGGTCTATAATGCCATTGTTTATCTTACCAATGTTTTATGCCTGAAAATTTGATCCTATGAATTAGCGTAGTTTTTATATATACCTATAAAGAATCTAATGTAAGTAAACTATGATATATCATTCACTTCCTGTTTCTGTGATGCCTTCATTTCATATTCATCCACTTTTCTTGAAACTTGAAAGGATATTGACGGAAGTTGACGATCTTGACTATTTCTCCCTTATTTATCCATTCGTACTACTACATATCTAGATAAGGTGTTAACTAAACCAATTATTTTGACATCTATTTGGTTATATAGCCGCAAAACATATTGTGCTATCTGACCTAAAGGGACTTCGTCCACAAATTCTTTATCGCGTTTTTATTTCTAAGGTGGTTATCTTGTTTTGATACTTTGAAATTTTCTTTTCCAAGAAATTATTTCTGTTTGTAGAAGTACTTATTGAATATTTTCGACTCCTCACCTTTTTCTATTCACAAACCACTTAGTGGATCTAAGTAACTTTCATAAGTTACAAAAATGTTTCACGAAGTAACGAGGTGTTATTCCGTTTTGTACGTTGGAACGCAAAATTTGGCCGTGTTGATTCGACTTGTAAAGTATACAACTTTCAACTATCTGGTCTCTAGGCTTTATTGACAAATTTTACTCAAAGTCTAAACATAAATTTTCTTTTCTGACCCTATTTTGTTTATTGTTAAACCCAAAATAGTGTACCAACTGACAAGAATCACAATATTTCGTCAAATTATTGTAAATTCACATGGAGAATGTTTAGCCAGCGAAGTACGTAAGTTTTACTCAACTTAATATTTGTTGTACTTTAGATTCTGTCTACACTCCCTGGCCAAAGTCTGAAGAATTTTCGAAATGTTCTCATTGTTTAAACACTTATTTCACAATGTCTTCTTCTCGGCATATTTACTATGTCGCTCGTGAAATGTTTCCCGCCTGTCTTTTGGCAGGTGTTGGAATGGTAGTTGCGGGATGTTATATTGATATGCTGAAGTCCTCCGTATGGTCATCATTAATAATTTATATTCTTGTAGGGCACTTTAACTTCGAAAGAGGAAAGTATTTTTGAGATCATTCCACCAATTCTTGGACTGAAAGGAAATTTAGAAGTTGCTCTTTCCTCTCGATTAGCTACTGTGGTTTGTTTGACATTATGTTTTCCTAAAACTTTTAGGTTCATTTTCGAAGAAAGCTTAACGAACTATCTTTCTGGTTGTTCACAACTACTCTGGCTTTTATACTTGTTAAGCGTCTAAATTTGTTATATATATATCTTAATAGGTTCTTGCTGTGTTTGCAAGCACAGTTATACCTTTAGTGGTAATAACGTTACATAAATCATCGGGTACATCTCATTTCCCTGTTGATCTTGTTCATCTTATCTGCATTTCATCAATGACTTGCATTTGTGCCACGTGTTTTATAGGCAAGTGTTCAATTTCTATTGCTCAAAATTTTTAAAGGCGTTGTTGTTTACGCAATAGTATGTGCTTGCGTCTTTTGCGGAGCGAATCCTGATAATGTTGCTCCACCCGCAGCCGCCGCTTTGGGTGATCTTGTGACTGTTTTGATTATTTCACATGTGAACTATTACTTTATCGTGCGTAAGTTTTTTATTCGTATTTATTTTATACAACTAATCTACTCTTACTCACTCCTCAATGCAATAGTTTATACAAGACACCTGAATAGTTTATAACTTGTATTCAGTCACTAATAGGCTTCCCAAAGTGTAGATTTTCCAGTTTTTACTAATAAACGAACAGTGTTGCTTAATATATAGCAATAGCTTCCCGTAAAATTCACCATGTCAAAATGGTGAAGGTTCTCTATGGCCAGAGAGTTTCTCGAGTTCGATTGTCACGTCCATTTTGATATGGATACCTCAATTTTCGTAAATATTTGACCCAAATAAATATTTCTGATAAATGTAAGTCGTCACGCTTTTGATTTTAGTTGTCAAGTAAAATTTGAGCCACCTTGATAAGTTATATGAAAGCTTTGAATTTAAGTGTACTTATTCACAAACCTTAGTGACTTTTTATTTTAGAATTATTGTTCGTATACATTTGGTGTTATCCCCATATATATTTATTCTATAACAGTGGTCATCAACACCGTTTTTCTAATGTCCTGCGTTTTATTTGTTTCCATTTGGTTTCACACATCTTGGGAAGTCATATATGACTTAGTGATTATCCCATTAAGTACTGTCGGACGAAAAAAATATTTTTCGATTCGTTCTTCATCAAAACCGTACACTAATACATGGGTTTTTTAATTAGATATCAATCAATACCAAATAAATAATTGTACATCATAATTAATCCGATTGTACAATCGCCTGGTTTTACGCCCAACATAACTGGCTCCATAAAAGCAGTTGAAACAGTAAGTATACTTAAAGGCAGTGGAACTGGCCAGTTGTTTTACTTGAGCGCACTTTTGGCTAGCCGACGAAGGAAGGGTATAATCTTGCAACATTAAATGTTCGGATTTCTGAGCATCATCCTGCTTCGTTGGTCGAGGAACAAAATAAAACGATGGGAACTCTATTCTGGGACATTTAGTCAATACCGATCGCCCCTTTGGCAAACATTTTGCTTTATACATATGTAAACCAACAGGTAAATGCAGAAACTAAGTTATCGCCTTGACAACTGATTAATCTGTGATTGAATTTCTAAGAATACAAAGTAATGTTACGCTAGATTAATCCACAACTTATCTTAGAAGCTCATTTACTAATATTATGAAAGCAGAAGATTCACAATCATCAAAAACAATAGTTGCTTTACTGAATCACGCTCAGTATCATTTTAGCAGTTATTCATACTTCATGACAGGTGATTGAAATATCTTGTAAAACGTACGGGAATGGTTCAACTGGTCTGCAGCAGCGGTCTAGTTCCTAGCGATTAGACTTCCACTAAGGTTGAAATAGCTTCAACGAACTTAAAACAAGACGTAGCAACAAAACCTGACTGCCGGTCTACATAGTTTATCGAAGATCACGTTCTGGTGTCATTCCATTTGATGTAATAAATAATGTATGGGAATCAGTAATAAATTCTCTAGACTAATTTCGATCCTTGATCATTTAGTTTCATAACAAAACGCAAAACACTTTAAGAGAACCACACGGAAATCATTTTACTTAAATTGTCATCATCTGTGGCTCCAGATGACAAATCACCTATTAAGGAGTATTTTGTGAGGAGCTTCCCTCAATTCAAGTCACGTTTACAAGTAGATTTTGATTTTTAACTCACTCAGAACCTCTCTTCAGAATTTATTTGTTATCTCAAATAGTTTTAGTTTGCTAAATGGTTTTTTTCTGTGAGGTATAATTAAAAGTAATGTTGGATCCATCCATTGTGAAACTACCGACATCGTTCAAACCTGTCTCTTAAATATTTTCATCCTGTTACAGATATTACAACCAGCATATTCGTATAAGTCCCGGAGGAACTTCACTATTTTCTTTTTATCTCAATGATTGTTCATAATCGTGGTAAAGTAATACAAATTCACTGGATATTTGTCTATCCAAAAGGTACATTCTGTGTGTTCTTATTTGAAAAATCTATGGCATCATGTTATAGCCTTGTGGTGGTTGGTTCTCTACTATGCATCAGGGATAACTCATCTCTCATTGAATGCGTCCCCGTTAATAGTAATTGACGTCTCACTAAGTCAATCAGCAAATATGTTCCACAACTATTTACTAAATATATTGTTATAATTACCTCGACTAATCAGATTACTGAATTAATGGAATAGCAACTTCCTGATTCCGCTTCAGGATCAGATTCTGCTCCTCCTGTTTCGATTTAGCATAATAGTATCACACATTATATATGGATCATAGCCTATTGCACAGTCTAATACTTGGTTAGTGAGTAGTACTGATTCACTAATTACACTTCAATCCCCTTAACTAATAGTTTCTATGATGAGTCGATCATGTATATAAAGGTAATTTTGCAACGTCCAACTAATTTTTAATTATATATGATGTCAGGTATATCGTTAGGTAAGGGAATCTATCAAAATATTTTTCACCTTTAATTTATTTTTGCTAATGTTCTTGTAGATCCAACTTTGACTGTCACCGTTGCCGTGTGCATGATTTCTGTGGGTCTTATTTTGAGTATATCTTATTTATTATATTATTCAAATGTCAACGTATCTGGTGATCTTCTCAGTCTTATTATTACACCTAATACTTTTAAAGAAACTATCATTCCTTTAACTCTTGCAATTATCATGAGTAGGTAAGTTGAAAGTAAAAATTTGCTTGAAAAATCATAAACCATATGGTGTTTATGATGTGAAGATTTTGTGGTTGTTCTACTAATCTAGTCCATATAGCTTCTTTCCGATGTTTATTTATTTATTTATTTATTTCAACACATAGATATTGGTACAAAGAGGCACCAAATACATATGCGTCACACAAATCTCGCTTGATTTACGTGAGGGCTGTGATACTGCCCGGATGCCCAAACCGAAGCAGGTGGTTTTCTTAGGGAGCCACTCCCCGAGCCTTCGACCTGACGGTCTGATCCACAAGGCAGTGGAGCATCGTAAGGAGATGCAGTCCCATGGAAGCCGGTGATTAACAATTGGTTCACACTCCATTTGTTCCCTCAGGATACCGGAGCCCATGTGCACCATTGGTTTGGAATCCGGTTAAAGCGCCGGACATTCGCTTTTCGTCCTCTCATTTTCGTAAACACCTGTGGTTCGAGAAGGCAGTGAGTAGGACTTCCCTGGCAGAGGCTATTTACGATGTAAATGTTATTTGCCTACTGACTACGTACGTAAATGTTATGACTGGTCGTCAATTGTTATATCAGAAACGCTTATTAATTATACTTGAAAAGGGAGGAGCCACCGCGATTCCCACGACGCGAAGTAAGAACACCAAGACTGGTACAAATGAAGGTTTACTAACCCCAAAACACGACGACCTCGGTCAAAATTACGTTCATATATTGATTGTATACCCATTTTGATCATTAATTAGGATAGAATCATATATATGAAAAGTACCCAGAGTTACAAAAAAGTACATGTCGCATGTCATGTTGAACATAGTTCACGTTGATTTAATACAAGAATATCATAGCTTCAACAAACATCACGCTCAAATGAGTTAATGTTATAACAAATAGATTATCATACTGGAAAAACAAAGCAAATACTACATTGAGTAATTATCACAGTGAACTAAACATACAGAAGTAATGTTAAACAAAATCACAATGTATTTTGTTTTTTAATCCCATCATATCAGTAATTTTTTTTCACTTGTGATAGTTTACTAGGTATATGTAGGTGGCATAGTATGTTTTCTCAAATAAAAACATTTCTTAGTAATAATATAAATTTCGGATTAATAAAAGTGTCTTTCAGAAATAAAATTAAAGTTATCAAATTCAGACTCCATCATAAACACCGTAGGATTTGATCCAATCGTAATTCAGTCCAAGTTACCGCACTACGTTACTTCAGTAAGATAAAACTAACATGATACACATCAAGTGAGTCGAAGTGATAGTGATGTGTATGTGAATGAATTATACTAAATATATGGAATATAGTTAGTAAAAAGAAATGAATTTGCGGAAAAAATAATATTTAAACTCAAAATCTGTGGATAGATGATGAATGAATCCATCTTCTCCAGTGTGCAATTGTTACCTAACGTTAAATTCCTTAAGATGCACGTTTCAGTTTACTGTTTACAGCTATAGATTCTCTCATTAGTTCATATATTTTCGATCAAGTTTTCACGCGTAGTTTATTCCATCATTAAGATGTAATCTACAGTATACTCATAAAGTGATATAAATTAGCTGTTATAGAAAAACTTTATTTTTTAAATAAAGCCATAAATGTCCCCACTTCATTAGAATTTTTCTGTAATTTACGCAGTGATGTATTTGTTTCCAAATATTGACTCTTGATGGTTTATACTAGTTGATGAAGTACGAAATATCTACATTTTGTTTAGAAAAAACTGCTCCTAGATACGTCTGGATGTGGTGAAAGTTAGAACTGTTGTATATTTTCCCTCTGTATTCGTATAAAAGCGCGATTAGCTTCTTGTAGTTCAAGTGCCTCTGTTCATACTTCCTATTGTTTGAGAAATCTTGGCAATCTTTAACTGTTTTCATCTTATTCCCATTCTTTTCCTGCATAATATTTAAAAAATTATTGTGTTAGGTAATATCGAACAATTTCTTTCTTTTGTAAATGAAACTTTTGACTTTACTAGCATTTGTGGGAATATATCCGCCCGATTTCTGATGGATTGGCCCATTATTGCGCGCCTTCAAGTCCCAATAAATGGTAATTCATCTTACATGTACTTTTGTGAACTTGTTTTAACCACATTGTGTGCAAAAGCGAGAATAATACCATTTTTATATACTCGTACGTACTCCATACAATGTAGTTCAGTATTTGAACTTCCTATTGACTGCTTACAGTCAGACATAAAACTAAACATATGTTGTTTGTAGTCTTGTAAAAAGATTTTATACCTAAAATAACGCTTGACTTAATCATACTAATAAGTATCTAATTTGGAAAACAACTGGACTTTTCCTGCATTGTTTGAAATTTATTTTGCAGTAAAATGATAATGTCCCTATTTTCAGAACCTTTATCATTTTCTAGACCAGTAGTAGTTTCACAAATTATGAAACTCATGTCATCTTAATAGTTTACATAAGTTAGTCATCACGCGACTTTTCTATTAAATGTTGCTTTTTACTCATCTATTAATATACTTCGTAAATAATGTGTCACGTAGTGATATGTTCAACTGTGAAAAGAAAAAAACTACAATAATTGTCTTGTATAAGTTGAACTTTCTTCGTAGTTATAAGTTTTAGGATTGATTTGTGACAAATGCGGCAGTTCCGTTGGATACATTTCTAGTGTAACTTACCAGTTCGGTTATTTTATGTTGAAATGTATCTGATAGTGATTGATTTAACTGTTTAGTTTAGAGGTATAAGAAACTAAATGTCGTAGTTTGCTTACATCTAGTATAGTTAATCATCAAAGTAACTTTTTGCGCATAGCAACAAATCTATATCTAAAATATTCGTAATACTGATTGTTGTGTTTAATAAATGCAATTTTGCATTGTAAATAATCGCCTATGAGTATATAATTTATCGAGTCATTTGTTAAGTGCTACAAATCAATCACATGTACAATAACAATAATTTTTCTTGAGCTTTTGTCATCTAAGAATATAATATTTCATGATATATATAGACAGTATAACGTTGTTAGTAAACGTTTGTTATTTTTATGTACATAACGTTATGTAATTTAAAGTGCGATAACCATAAGTAACGACAATAATGTTAATTCTGTTTTATTTGTGAATATAGTTTCATACTATTCCACTATCTCATACCCACTGATAAGCGTAGTAATGTTCAAAATAGCAACCATTGTAATTAGTATTTCAAAAGTTAAGAAACTGGTTACGGAGCCTTAAAAAGTACGTCAATGTCTAAACGGAAATCAGTGTTTTTTACATTTAGGTATTCATGAAATATTAAGACAACTTTTCAGTACTTTGACATTAAATATTTGTAAGACTTGTATTGTTATTTGAAATGTATATTATCCTCAAATATTATTTTGACTTAAAATAATAATTAGTAATTTATTGGGCGCTATTCTACAGAAATCGAAATTACATAACATTGATTAAAGTTTTTAAGTAATTCTATTTAGTGGCACATTTGCATCACTTGTGAATTATATTTTGGTTTCATAGTATTGTGGTGTGTGCTACTGATGTTAACAGATACAAGTAGCATGTATCGTCAATCGAAACTGAAATGCCTCGAGTCATAAAGTTAAGAAGATCGAAGAAATAGAACGAGAACAAAGAATCATTGGTGTGGAAACGAAACAATGAAGTCTGAGACGATTGACTGACACTTGCAAAAGGAACAGTCAAGTTTGAGACAATTAATTGAATTGCAAATAAAGTATTTACTGTATGGTTCTCAGATTTTACTAAGATGTTCTGCTCGATTGTTCCCACTTATGTTCTCGCTCACTACAGTATTATCAAATTTGTGTCATTAAACGGTAAGGTTATTAAAATTCTAGTCACCGTTATGAACAGTGACAGAACAGAAGGGGTTAAAATTATCCTGTGATAACCATACAGGGGTTAGCTTGACTAATATAGCATATAAAATACTAGCCTCAATAATCATTGGGCGCCTATCTAAGATTCGTGAACTGCAAAAACGTGAAAATCAGATTGGCTTCAGACCTGGATGTGGTTGCATCGACCACATATTCACCATTCGTCAGGTTTTAAAACACACATGTTTATCGGCGTCCGACAATGGTGGTCTTTCTTGACCTACAAGCAGCATTTGACTCTGTTGACTGAGAGATTGTGTGGCAGTGTCTGTCATTGAAAGACGTACCTCAGAAGTACATAAACTTGTGAAGGCTCTTTACTTGAACACTACTGATCGAGTCTGAGCTTATGGCGAACTGTCATCTGATTTTACAACCTCGAGCGGTGACCGGCAAGGCTGTTCACTATCTGCAATTTTGTTTAACTTAATTATAGACCTACTGCTGGGAATAACGCTCTCGTCCTCTGAATTTTCAGGAACTCATCTCCTACCGGAAGGTCCATATATCGACTTAGAATACGCAGGTGATATAGTCCTGTTTGATGAAGACGCTGATCAAATGCAGAGTCTATTGACAGCACTGAGCGACCATGCCAGGATGTTTGGGGTGTGTTTTTCTGCCTCTAAATGAAATTTGTTGCTCCAGGACTGACCTGCGTCAACACCTGAACTAAGGATAGGGAGTGACGTAGTCGAACGCGTTGACAACTCCACTTATCTTGGAAGTCTGACCAGCCCAAATGGGTTGGCGTCTGACGAAATCTCAGCACGGATTCAGAAAGCTCTTTCGGCTTTTATCAACTTACGTCATCTATGGCGAAGGCGAGATATCCGTCTATCTGTCTATTAAGGGACGAGTATACTGCGTGGCAGTCCGTTCTGTTTTAATTTACGGCTGCGAAACGTGGCCATTTAGAGTAGAAGATGCTCGTGAGCTACTAGTAATTGAGCACAAATGCCTTAGAAATGTTGCTCGCATCTGCTGAGATGACCGGGTAAGTAATAATGAGGTTAGATGCAGAGTATTTGGGAATGATGATAAATCAGTTGATGAGGTCATGAATCTTCATCGACTGAGATGGTTGGGCCACGTGTTATGTATGCCTGGACACCGATTACCATGGCGCACAATGCTGACTAGTGTTGGGGACGGTTGGGAGAAAGTTAGAGGCAGTCAAACCAAACGTGGCACCAGTCCATGAAGTCACTAACATCTGGTGTAGGCCATGTTGGTAGACGCAGACTACTTTGTCGGGGTCTGCGGAACTTTCGTAACCAATGGTTAGAGACTGGGTGACATGGCTGAGAATCGATCACAATGACTTAGGTGTATACACTCTTTCTTCCCTCAAACTATGAGATTAAAATTGCTTTATATCTTTCTTTCTACGAACTAATTCTTTTTTCCTGTACCATATCATTATATGCAATCTTTCTTATATATATTACCACCATTGAATTAACTACTTCTGTGAATTCGGTGTTCATCTTGTTGTGCTAATGCGGTATGACAATTTGGACCGATGCATATATGTGTCTGGTCCTACGTTGTAGCTGACTGGCACACAAAAATGTATTATTTGAAGGAAGATTGTGCTCAATCATTCTTCCACTTTACGTTAGACAATAAACTATCCGTTGCTGCTTTCTGAAGGGACTCGAATTCGATGTACTTAGACTTCATTATATAACTTGTGACAGTTGACTACTAGTTCCTTATTTTATTTTGAACTATCTGAAGAGTTTTGATTATGGCTTTCACTGTATTCCAGACGATTCATTGACTTTTGTCCAGTGATATTATGTAGTTATAAGCTCGTATTTTTGTGTTGTCATCGTTAGGATGTTTTGACTGTAACGCCGAATTGTTGTGATCCTTCTATGCTTAAACCGAATATTGTGGTAGTAAAACTAATCGCAATTGTTACTCTATTATGAGACTGAACTATTCCGATACTTATGCAAAGAAGATATTTAATTCAGCTTCCATCTCAAGAATGTATCGTTATCTATTCACTTAATTAACTCTAATTATAAAGCACAAAAGCTCTAATCCTGTATCATCTATTGTTGTTATTTTTCATAGTTTAGTACAATAGGGAGGACGTTACGAATGTTATTACATCCAAAGCAATCTGTAACTGAATATTACAAATATTTATGTACCACACATATTTATCAACTGTAAGCTTTTTTAGTTGAAGTGATCGTTTAATCACCAATTATGCTTTGTACATCCTATGATGGTGTTAAATAAATTATTAACTTGTATTGATTTTATATTCTCACATATTTCTCTATGCTTTTTTGTTTGCATGTAGGTGTGGGGGGGATTTTTGGTTCAATGTTAATTAGCAGAATGACAACACGCCTGCATTCAATAACTTGTTCAAAAAAGCCTCCTCTGAAGGAGTCGTTCATTGTTTCTCCAACATCTGGTCTAGTCACAGTTGAAAAAGTCAACACTGTGAACTCTGATAGAAAATCTACAACTCATGATTCACATTTCTACACATCATCTCAGTCATTCGAAACATTGGGATCCTGTAGAAAAGTACTTGAAATTCATACTGATGTTTCACGGGTATCTAAACTTATCAGATTCCTGTGTGTCCCGTTACATTTTACCTTAACTTTAGTCAGTTTAACTGTCAGTTATTATTTAAAACAGGATAATTCTCCAAAGATCACATCACCTCTGCAGTTTGACATTTTATTTCCTTACCTCATTGCTGGATTCATACAGGTAAATTATTTTCTTATTTGCTTGCTGGTTACTATATATAACTGGAGATTAGTCTATTTTTTATTGAATCAAGTTCCCTAGACCTATGTTTTTGCTAAAACTTATCTTAACAAGGATCAAATAAATATCCGATTATGAAAATCCTATATGTACTACCAATATTCTGAATCTTAAGTATTTTTATCTATCATTTTCGTATTTCCTCTGGATTTGTCACTCACTGTATGTGGGTTAGTAGACCCTGCGAAATCGCTAAAACGAGTGAGATTGAACAAACTGCAATACTCAATGATACACAAGGGGGTCAATAATAATGATTATCCATTATATAGGAATCTATTGAAAAAGTAACATGAATATTATTATCAAACAACTTGAATTGGTCAATAGCACACTAAAATTTTTTCTTTTACTTTCTGATCAGTGGATTTCCTTGGATAATTAGTTCATACCGTTAGAGAAGACTTAATTCATCAGTTTACACAGCTGTACCTGTAAATAACTTTTAATGACATTCTTATAAAACTAGCTAATTATTGATTAAATGAAATAAACTGTTCAAAATCTGGAAAAACAAAGTTATGACATTTGGACTATTGGGTTTAGTGCACGACTATGTTTCCCTAAGGTCTCTAGTCACTATTTTGTATTGTTTCTAGAACTTCATTAAGGTAGTCTACACTCATCTACACAAACCAGACTAATAGTCAGTGCTTTCTTGATGGACTAGTGCTATGTTCACAACCAAAACATCCTATTCAAAGGGCGCACAACAGCTCCAACATCCTCAAAATGAGCTACAATTATTAATTTGGCTAGCATTGGGCATGAGGTTGCACAGTAACTTAATATATGTAACATATAACTCAGTTGTTTCAATCAATCCAGATACATCACTAAATGTAACCCAATTCATACAGCTTATAAGCTCTAGCTTAATCATATGTTTTACATCTCCTAGGTGTCCAGTCAGTGAATGTCTTGCTTTTACCCTGTAAGATCGATGGTGGTGAATGTTTTTTTCCTTTTGAGGTCATTGGGAGTGCACTAACAAAATTTCCTACAACCAAGTGATTCATGTATAATACATAGAAAAATATAATTGTATTTTTTTCTTGTTTCTCTCGTACTCTTACTTTTAGATATGCATACTTCTCGAGTTTGCAAAATGGATTGTTTTAAAACTTTGGAAACATTTACATTCTACAAAACATTTAAACTCTCATGATAATGTTATATCCTTAGCATCAATTGATTTCTCCGCTATAGCTGTCACTACCGGTGCAGGTGATCTGATTGGAACAAGTTTATTCATTCTATTTCTATCTATTAGTAAATGGATTATAAGCGGTTGATTTTCTTTTCGTTTTTTTTTGTGTGATCATTCTGTACAATTAGTTCTTTGATGCTTATATTTTGTACTTTGTTGTATATATGAAAATATTATTCTCCTTTCATATTAACATGATTGATATAACAGTTATTTGGACGAATTAAATCTTCTATACTTATGTAATATCTTATAAAGTTTTTTACATCATGTCAGTATAATTTTCAGTAATTTTTTCTACATGTTTATCTTAATGTCGAGAAACATTTAAAGGGAATATTGTCACTAAATAAGTTGTGATACTTTTTTGTGTATTTTGCTAATATTATAAGGTTTAGAAGTTTATATTTTCAACTGGATCTTGAAGGAGTTTTGTGATGGTAATGGTTCTTTCCTTTGATTATTAGAATTTGTTACTATTCAATTATAATGTTTCTGTTGAAATTATAATCATTCATTTGTATTCTCTCTATTTTCCTCTCCGTTTACAAATATTCCACTGTGTTTATTTATACCTGTTGATCCGATTAAATCTAAAAATTTTAAAAATATAATTGAATTATGCAAGAATTTATTATTTCTGATTAGATGTATAAACTATGTTACTCAGTTTAGCATTGAACAACAACTTAACCGATTGTGAAAACTCATTCAATAGTTTTATTATTAGTCGATAATTAGAATAAGTGTTAGTATATGTACAGTATTTCATATTGGTAATTCGTAAATTGTAGTTATTTAATTTGAGAGAACTTGTTTTAATTTTACGAAACTCTGTGTTTCATCTATTTAATTTATTTATCTGCTTTACAAGTGTAGACATGTTGATGTATATTCGACTAACTATCTACTACGATTAAACATCTAAGAGAGTATGAGAGAAAAAAGAATATGTGGTTTCAAAATGGACTGGGTAAATAAATACTGTTGTTTACTTATTTTGACTAGATTGTTTGTTAATAGCTAATTACTATAATCAATTATTTATTAAGAGAAGAATCAAGTTTTGTTTACTCTAGTACAGTAAAACTGGTCATTTTCTAACCATTGGAATATACGCCTTAAATAATATAAATATATACATACATATACATAATAAGTCAAATGGTTTCGCCTTTTATTTCATATGTGAATTATTTTCACGCATTGTCTCTGTATATATTGTAAACTTGCTTGTGTTTTAGTTTTTTTTACTAAACTAGACAACCGAACCCAAAAAATCAATAGATTATCATCAGTTTATGGGTTGTGGAGATTGTTAAGTTTTTGATTGAAATCATAAGTCAATTGAAGCTAGACCACCATGGAAAACCTGGAAGCACTGAACGGTCGTTTCGTCCTAGTATGGGACTCCTAAGCAGTGCGCATCCACGATCCCGCACTCCGCGAGACTCGAATCCAGGACCTATCAGTCTCGCGCCAGGCGCTTAACCAACTAGACCACTGAGCCGGCATCCAATGGTGTTAATGTTTAACCTCAACCAATCCACGAAATTGCGCGACCATCTTCCATTGTACTGAGGTAGACACCTGTTTCTACCCGACACGGACCAACTCCACTGGTCACGGCTTCTCACCAGAACTTCGAGAATTTTCTCACGGAGCTAGTCACTAGTGAGCACATGGTAATTATCAGTTTATGGGCTGTTGAGATTGTTAAGTTTTTGATTGAAATCATGAGTCAATTTACAAAAAATTTTTTTTCAAAATTGAACCAATTAATTTCTACAATGCACCGAAATAGAATAAATTGCTTACTGATTCAAATATTATCTTGAGTACTTATATAGTAATAATCAATAGATATAGAACTTTTCGGTGATCTGCAACTTTTAAAGCATAGTACTATTCATAGTTCTTCTTAACTACATGAAAGGTCAGAAATTCTACTAGTCTTACTAAGTTCAATGTAAATAAAATGGCTTCCATTAAGAGAATGTCGTGTTTAAAGCAAATTATATTTCTACTATTAATTGTTTAGTATGTTTTTATTTCATTTTTAGTAACCATTTAATAAACTGTTCTTTTTACTGGCAATATGATCGTTGTGTTTGGAAAGCATTATACATGATAATATGTATTCTGAATGAGTCTGTTATTCTTATCAATTTTAACCACATCATCTTATTATCGGTAAACAATCTCATTGTTAGGCCTTTTAATCATCCGTTCCCAGTTGTTGTCTAACATCTCAATAAAGTTGGTTTTAATCTCACAGCATATTGTAATAACATTGTTATATTTACTATTCAAATATCTCATATTAAACTATCGTAATGACCGTAGAAAGCAAAGATTAGCACAATCTTGCTCTAAATTTAATACAATACTGTTAATTATTTTTTAACATAAAGTCTGATTCGTATTGATTTCCAATTCCTTTTTAGAAATCTATTCACTGTTGAATAAAATATGGTCATTTTCAGGTTATTATTTAATATGCACATTTGTTTTATGGTGAATTGGAAAGAAAACACCAAACCGAATTCACTTTTTAGTAATTAAGGTCAATAGTGGGACATGTAAGGTAATAAAAAGTTTCTTGATATTAATTCATCGGTGAAAGTATAGTATAGAGGCTGAACTTAAAACAACTGCAGTTCATTTTCAGACAGTTATTAGTCAATCACAAAACTGCAAGATTCTATAGTGGCTAAAAGTAATATTTCGCAATTATTCCAAATGTTTTGAATAGTATGAAAAGATAATTATGCTGCTTGTTATAAGTGAAATTTGAATTTCTCGTTAAAGCCTAAAAGTCGCATTTGTGATTCTTACTGATTTATCCTTATTCTAGACTTTTACCAATTTATCTTCAATTACATATTTTGAGTTCATTCAGTTCATAAACAAAATGCTCGAAACTAACTTAATGAATTTTAAATTCATTATGAATATCTGTGAGAACAGGTATTATGATAAATGTGCATTTACGCTAGTTGTAACTGACTGATTTTTAATTTATTGTGTCGTCTCTATAATACACGAGAAATATGGATTTAGTCAGTGTTGCATGTTATTTTACCATTTCATTAAACATTCTGGTTACATTATGGCTATTTTCTTGAAAATCCTTTATCCTTGTACTTGGAGATCACCTATTCTTTAACTGTACGAATATTACAATTCATTGTTCCTATTTTTAGTCTGTTCTGATTGGCTAATCATTAATGTTAATCTCTTCGATATTCTAAAACACTTTTATGATAAGCTGATATCATGTATTAAATAATAGTCATCAAGTTCAAACCGCACTGTCACGGCGTTTGGTTTGTTTTCCTCTTCATATGTTTTCGAGAAATGAAAAATAGTTCAAACGTCTAATGTATTATGAGATGACAAAATGTGACCAAAGAAAAACGTTTACGGATGAAGACTAATTCCTGCTAACTAATATTAAAAGATGCTTTCATATATTTTTGTGAATATTAATGAGTTAAATGGGTATTAAATGCTGATTTGTTAAAATACTGCATACTTATACAGAGAATTCTTCACTGCAATCAAACATACGGTATTGAATTAAACAATTATGGTTATTATTTGTTATTTTCTTCAATAAATTGCTGTTGAAATTCGCAGGTTAACGATAACGTATTATCAGCTAAAGTCACGGTTCACAGTTAGCTGAACCTAAATTACAATATTGATTATTCAGCTGCTGTGAAATTACTGAATGTAAGATTAAATAATTCTGATCCTTAGTGCCCAAACAGTTATGACCTATTCATCTTATCATAACTTAAGAATATCAATCTAAGTGGATTCACAACTTTCAATTTCACAGAACTAGAAGTGTTTCTGTGTTAGTTCCAAGTATAGTTAGTAATACAGCTACCGTATGATAACGAAATTCGATTCATAACATGCATAAGTGAAAAAAAGCCAGCAATACTTCAACTTCTTTTGCATTATTTAACTATACAGTTAAAGTGTTCATTTCTAGTGCATAATTGGAAACCTGTTCATTATAAAATCAATAATGTGAAATATGACTTTTTAGTCTACACTAATAAGGAATAAAATTTATAAAAAAATGGTTATTCTTACATGTAAACAAATTCATATTGATGTATTTTATTGTCAGTGACAAAGTATAAATACGAATGTAAAATCAGTTTTTACTAAAATAACAAGATGTTTAATTTTCATAATAAAATGAAATATCATTAGATCTGTATCAATAGAGTTTGTTGCGAACTAGATTATATAAAACAATTGGTTATTCAATATAATCATTTCAAAGACTCAAACAAATAGTTGCATAGAAATTCCTTACAAATTTTACGTCAGCTGTTTTAACGATGCTATTGACCAGTGAGTGCTCTTATAATCTGCTTTTATCCTACTTTTTTGTATAGTATTTATACCGATCAACAATTTACATCAAACTGATGTTTCTTCAGTATACGGATGGCAGAATTTTAATTTGTAATATAGATTTTCTCTTTTTAATTAATCATAATGAAAATAGTGGGAGTAATATGTACATGAATATATTTCAACTAACTAAATATATAATTGAGATCATTAACTGATCAATGTTAGACCACCATTGAAAACCTGGAAGCACTGGACGGCTGTTCCGTCCCATTATGGGACTCCTCGGCAGTGCATACCCACTGTTCCCTTATCGGGACTCCAACCCAGGGCCTTCGGTCTCGCGCGCGAACTAAATATGGTCTAGTTTTGTTCGCATAAATTTGACCAGTTGTGAGAATTATTTTTTTTAAAGATCACTATGTGATATCTTTTAATTTTTATTGACATTTTGGCTTTTGGTGCCGTTTATAATTGCAGCTACGTGAAGAATTAACACTCTGTTTATAATTATTTGTATTTTTCCACTAATAATGGAAAATGAAGATTTAAATAACATATTTTTTTCAATAACTATGAGACCATCTGGTAGAATTAATATGAATTCAGCTAAAAACTTCAAAATGGACATTGAGATAATAACTATTAAGTCTTTAATTACTGGGACAGATAATATACTATTGGAATTCAGTGTCCCGTTTAGTC